CTGCCTCAAGGCCAGCACATCCTGGAACTTGGTACGGAACCGCTGAGCCACACACTGAACTGAGAACCTGACATTTCTTGGCATGCACTCCCTCTAGTGGCACCCAAGAGATGGGAAGAAGAGAACAGCAGCCAAGTTCGGGAAAAGACCCTTCCCCATTTCAGCACAGAAACCATCTTTCCATTTGCTCTCTTCTGCTGGTAACTCCAGTCTAGGGACTCCCTGGGTACCAGCAGTGAACTAAACCACACAGCGGCCACAGCTGCTTTTTGTCCCATCAACCAGAGCACCTTTACTTCAGCTAGAGCCACAGTGGAATATTGAATGCTGCCTTCTACTGAGGCGGCTGGTCCAGCAAAGGCTAGTATTGCCAACACTGGCTGGCAGCCCCCTCTGCAGGCTTTCAGTCAGGGTCCTTCCCAGCTCCAGAGGACCTTCTGCATGAAAAGCAGTGACACATAACCTCTCCTTGCCTGTCCTTCACTAGGGAGAAAGAGCTCCGTGAGACGGCTGCAGTTGTATGGGTGCACTGCACGGGTGGAGCTGCACAAACGGAAACGGGGCAAATCCAAGTTACCCCTGCCCATTTTTGAAAATCTGTGGACTTCATTTATTCAATTTACTGAATGAATTTAATAAATTTACTCAAGATATATGTGCCCTGAATCCAGTAGAATATCTGAATGGTAAACAGTAAGGAGGAAGACATCATGATTGTCAGAACTGAAACCAATAAAACCGTTGGAGCCAACACACGGAAAAAACACCTCATATGAAATATTTTGCCTTTTGGAATGTACAAAATGCTTTCAACCTTATTCAATTTGTGAAGCTGTTCTGTAGCAATTGCTCTCAGGGCAACATTCAGAAAATAACACCACAAATTAAATCCCAGACAAGGTTTATTCATTCCAGTATACATGTGTGACTATTATTTTTATGTAAGACAATGCTGCACTCCAAGCTGCTTCTTTGCGCCCAGCGCTGCTAATTTTCCTGAATGGCGTGACTGGGTCCATCCTTCCTTAGGGACAGATTCTTATCTTCTGCTGAATTTTGATCCAGTCCGCTGAGAGCTGAGAAGCCTGTCCCTCGCATCGCCTTTTCATGTGGTTCCTCCCTCATGAATGACCTGCCTCCTTTTCTTTTATTCTCAAAGTCACTGCATAATAACAGTTCCTGCTGTTGTAACAGACCATGTGTTTAATATTGGTTCCAATGGTGCTATGGGGATTTTTATGACAATATTTGAGTACATTTTAACTGTCAGCAAACATGTTCTTCCTTTAAGTTGCTTGTGAAATGATTGTTCAAAGCAGGTTATGGCTCCTTTAAAATTAAATAAAGCACCAAAGTAAGATTTGACTGAGCCTTTTTCCACTGAAAATTTTCCACTGACAGTTAAGAAAATTCTCTGCCCTCTTTACAGTAGTTCCTGCTCATTTGCATGATGGAGCAATTTAATCCAGAGCTTAAATTTCAGATCTGGAGAGGAATAGCTTTGCTACAGTTGTTAGAAGCTCGAAGGGGGCATTTGATTTGACTAAAATGGTTTGGGAGTGTTGGGCACAAATTTAAGCAATCAGTTAGATAACAAGACGCTCAATTTCCAATGGTTTAGCTGTGTTAGTCTCTTGCACCCCAAACAACCAATTCTACCACATCTTTTCTGGCACCTTAAAGACTAACATATCTATTCTGGAACAAACTTGGATGGACCAAAGCTGCAGTCATCTAATGCACAGAGCAGGGAAATTCCTTATGCCACAAAGCTGACCCCCAAAGCTGTGAACCACCTTTGAGAAGACAACACTTAAGCTTCCTGCTTGCTTCAACTCTGTGCCCCAGAGACAAGACCGCATGCCCTTACAGTGACCACGGGGTCTTCTGCTGAGCACCCGCCCATCTTGCTCAGAATCACCTCACTGGTGGTGTCTGTGAATATCCCCCAATATGGCATGGGTGGTTGAAACCCTGAGCAGGACCAATCTACGCTGCAACTGTTTGCTGCAGGTTCCACTTGTAGTCCTCAGCCAGGGATGCCAGGGTCTGACCCTGGGTGCTTCTCCATGTAACACTTACCGGCTCCTGCAGGGATGTTCATGCTTCAGCAGGAAGGTGCCCTGTATTTTAAGGCAAGAAGTGCTCCAAGAGATGGAGCGGAATTGGCCTTCTGCAGCCTTCCAATGCCTGCAACCTTTAGCAACTCATCTCTGAAATCCTTTCAAGCAGGACATACTCCAGTAGCCCTAAATCATTTCCACGGACTTTCAGTGTACGAAGCACTGAACCCCACACCACTGTGTGGTGTCCACTGGGCCAGGTTGACCAGTGGGGGAGAGTGATTTGCCAATGAACACACCCTTGAATTTCACTGGTCAGGTGCCAACTTGAACTAAGTTGCCTCATGATGTAAGTCTGCTAACCCTTGAAGTTAAAAGCGTGCCCCTGGAGTTTTTAATGCAGCAGAATAAAAGGTGCTTTTCATAAAGCTTGTTGCAGCAGTCCTCTGGAGCTGACTGTAAGGGTGGGATCTTAGCACCTCCTGACATCGTGGGGGGAGGGCAAAGGATTTTTCCCAAATTCCAGAAACAAGGTCCTGTGAATTTGGCGGCTGACATTCAGCAAGGCCAGGGAACATAGGAACACTCCTTAAGTGTTCCTTCAGCTTGACATGGAAGCACCTCTGGACCTTTGCACTCTGTGTAGGCACATCACGGATGCTGGGCAGTGGCTGGAACGTGCAACCTTTCCTATTTTCCAAGCATCGATTGAATACACTGAGGGAAGCAGTGATTCATATCTGCATGGTAGACTTAAAACCCTGATGATTTTAAAACCTGGACTGCTAAATACTTAAAGCAGCTTTAAAAATGTAAATACTAAACTTCTGTTAAAGAATAACTTAATAAAATGAATATTAAAATAACTGAATTTCAGCATGGCTGCTCTTTAATTAATCAGCATTAAAATTTCCTTTAAATATGTAGCATTAAAGCTGGCAGAAGTTTCTTTCCCCCTTTTATTTACTGCCCTTGCCATGGCAGTGGGGGTGAAATACTGCAAGCCACCCTCAAAAACAGGTAAGGTAGAAAAGTTGACCTCCCCAATCCTGCAGCACTGCTAAGTCCCACTGCAGATCAGGGTTCTGCGCCCTCACATCAAGATGCAGAAAGTGGAACATAGCACATGTTCAAGAAAAAAACACTCCATTTCTCTCTTAGAGGCAGCTTCTTTGCAAAAATGAAAATCCCATTTGGTCATTTCGCAAAAACAAACATTTACACGCAACCAGCTGAAGATGGGGAAACAAGCACTTTGTGTGGTGCTGATCTGAGCCAAAATGCCCCATTTCCTTCCTGCACATGTTCTTTGTGCTGTCAATGTGCAACGTTTAAAACTGGCCCTGGGACACAGCAGAATAGAAGGTCTTTTTCATAATGCGCAATGCTGCAGCATTATGGATAATAAACAGGAACTGATTTCAGAACAAATAAAAACCTGGATAAAAGTGAGTGAGCGGCATTTGCATAGTCCTTTCCCAGCCTATTAAAAAAACATGTTCCAGGTATTGAACATTAGGGTGTGGAGATGGACTTTGACTGCAGCAGTGCTTAGTCAGATAACCAGCCTCCCGTGCTAAAGATCTCACTGTGCTGTGATGCACTCAGATTAGGACCTGGGTTCAAATCTCCCATGTCACAAACTATCAGCATAACCCACCTATCCGGGTTGCTGTGTCTGCATTAAGATGGGGCAGGGTCACAGCCATGTCCTAAACCTCCTGCAACAACTACAGCAGGATCAAAATTAAGACTCAGTCCTGACTGCATAGCGATATTTCCCTGAGCATGGAGAGGAGTGCCCCCCAGAAAGCCATTGACTCATTATGGGAAAGGAAACATGGGGCATGCAGGAGGGAACGGGATGCTCCCTGGCTTGCAATGGTGCAGTCAGGCAATGCGAAGGCTCCAGATAATGGTTTTAAGGGCAAGCAAACTCGATTTTTGGCCCTCCCAATCCACTTTCCCTTTGTGTCGTGTCTTCTAGACCGCAAGCCTTTGGGCAGGAAATTCTTTATTCCTTATCCTTAGACCTCACCCCCGGTTTTGCTTTGTCTTTGAACAGCGTCATCAAAACGCTCTGCAATCCATGCATTGCAATGGGCGGCAAAGTCGCTGACTTCGAAGTGCTGCTTTTGAAGGCCTCTCGCCCTCGGAACGAAGCCCCGGACTTCTGCCGCACAGGCCTGCCCTGTCGGCACCTGCCCCTCCGCCCCCGGCCAGGGTTTCTTGGCCTGCGATCGCTGCAATTAAGTTCCGCCACGTGAAGTTCCTTCTGCGGGCAAACACGACGGAGAGCGCGCCCGCGCCCGCACCGCGGCCGCGCTAGAAGAGAAGCTGCGCTGACGCGAGGGAAAAGGCACCTGGGAGGAGATGGGGGAACAGGCGCGCAGCAGGGAAACGCCGCTTCCAGGGCAGCTGCAGCCACGGGTGTGGCTCGGATGACCGATGACGGGGAGCACAGGCAGAATCCCATAGGTGGCGGGCAGGGCGGAGATGGGCCCGCACAGCCCTGTGTCGGCGCCAGCGCCCCGTCAGGCAAAAGGAAGGGAAGCCCGAGGGGAACGGCTCTCGAGTAAGGCTTTTCCGACCGCACGAGCGCCTAACTCATCCGGCCCGGGTCGGCGATCAAAGGCTAACTGAGCAGAAAAGACTGAGCTGGCGCCCCTCCGGGAGGCGTCTGACTACAGTTCCCATCCTTCCCAGCCAGCACAAGAGACTGGGTGATGGGAACCGCCGTCTGATTTCTTCCGAAGGGGCGCGCCCCCTTGGGGAAGCGGAGTGAGGGAGATGCGGCTTCCCTACAAGAGGAGAAAAGCGCTGCACGGTCAAGCCGCAAGGGCGAAGGGGGCAGGCGGGCGCCTCGACCCAGCGCCGACGCAGCTGCGCCTCCGCGGCGCAACCGCTTTGCTTGCGCCTGGAGCGAGGCCACCTTACCTAGAATTTCTTTCCGCCGCTGCGTGTGAGGCTGGTCCGTGTAAACCCACTCGAAGTCGCTGCGGGCAACGCGGTTGCCCATTCCTGCCTTGCGCCTGCGACCGCGTGCCGCGCAACGCCCTCCGCAGCGGGACTCGGAAAGAGAGACGCTCGCCCCGCGCAGGGGCTTATATCGGCGCCCTTCACCGGCGCGCTGGCGCGCCCCTCTGGCCCCGCCCCGGCGGCCTCGCCCACGCAGAGGGCGACTCGGCGGGGAGGCCGTTTCCCCGCTCGGGTAATACGCAAACCCAAAGGGGTCCCCCCGTGAAGCGGCTTGGTGGCAGATTCCAGGCTGGTGAAAGGACGGACTTCGCAGAGCGCGGGGCTGAACCCTGGAATGCACTTCCTTGAGATGAGGCGAGGCCACCTGTTTGCATGGCTCTGAAGGAAGATTGGACGACTTCGAGGAGGAGAAGACGATCAGTGGCTACTAGTCCTGATGGCTCTGCACTCCCTCCAGGATCAGCGGCACTGTGCCCAGGTGCAGCACTTGCTGGGGAACTTGGGCAAGAAGCTGCGGCTTGCGAAGGTGTGTTAGCAGCTGGTTGACCGCAGTGTGAACGGAGTTCTGGACTAGATAGATCCTGGTCCGATCCTGCGGGGCTCTTCTCACTTGCTTGAGGGCTAAAGGCGCCCTCTCCCCAGGCTTTCTCCGGACTTAGCAGAAACCACAAAACGAAAAACGGATTCAGAGGCGGTGAGGCTGGGGCGGCTGCTCTCGCTTCCCTCCATGCCAGCTGTGCAGGACGATTTGCCTAATGGGTCAGGACCATTACACGGGGATAAGGGAGGTGTCGCCCTTCTCCTCCTGGTCTTTTGCTTTCCTAACTCTGTGTCCGCAGGAAGAGGTGGTTATAGGATTTTTTTTTTTAAATCCTCCATTCGTTCCTGAGCGAACTTGGCCTGTCCATCTTTTTGCGGCTAAACTAAACAGCAGGTTTTATCCAACTTACATCTTGTTTCTTTCAAGATAGCGAGCCGCCCTGAGGCTTTGTTGCGATGGGGGCGGCATAAAAATGTTTTAAATAAATAAATCTACTCGAAGTTGAATTCTCATTGGAAAATCCCAGTATTTTTTCTTTGCAAAGCTACTAACGTGCGTCCCCGTGTGGAGAGTCTGTTACCACCAGTGACTTGTCCCACCTTAGAGCTTGACTACCCGTCCTTTGTGCTTTGCTTCAGCTGTTTGTGTAATCGAGTTTTGGCTTTTAAACGTTTTCTGTTTGTCTGTGGGAAATACTCCTTTAAAAGTGCACAGGTATTCCTGAATTGTATCTAATTTTATTCTTAACTTTGAGTTAATGTCCTGTCAAGTTGTCTCTCACTTATTTTGACCCTATAAAGGAAAGCCCTCCAAAATGTCCTGTCCATGACAGTTCTTAGTTCAAGAACGTGGCTTCCTTTATGGAGTCAATCTATCTCATATTTGTTTATTTCTTCTTCTGCCTTTCACTTGCCCTAGTATGATTGTCTTCTCCAGTGAGCCTTGCCTTCTCATCATGTGTCTGAAGTATGACAGCCTATTTTGTCATTTTTGCTTCCATTCTGGCTTGATTTGAACTAGGATCCACATATTTGGATTTCTGTTGGTCTACAGTATTTGCGAAGCTCTCCTCCAGCATCATGTTTTGAACATATCCATGTTCTTTCTGTCAGCTTTCTTCACTGTCCAGCTTTCACACCCATGCATGGTGATCAGGAATACAATCAGACAGATGATCTTAGCCTTTGACTTCAGTGAAACATCCTAACTCTTGATGATCTTTTCTAGTTCCTTCATTACTGCCCTTACAAGTCTCAATCTTACTCAGATTTCTTTACTGCAGCTTTCTATTTAATTGATGGCTGAGCTGAGTTGACCCACTAAAATAAATTGGATACAACCCTGCCAAAGAATAACGCCGGAGAACACAGTTCAGAGCCTTTGCTTCATGCCATTCCCCATGTTTCGTGCCACTTCTCCCGTCTCTGGAGCTTGCTCCTTGGCAACAGGCACAGGAAAGCCATGCAATACTTGATGGGTACCTGAGGGAGGAATCATTTGAGTTGTATTCTGTCTACCTCTGCACATGTTCAGAGTGGAACTGCAGCACCCACAGAGCCTTTTTGGCATAGTCAAGGGGTGGGAAAATCCACCTTCCACTTGGCTGTGGTAGAGGGACACTGGCAAGAAAACCTCTAAACTGGGGCGAGATAGAGGTTTGACAGGTGCCTAGGAGTGGAACACCTTTGAACACGTCTGAAATTTCTACACTGAAGCCTGGCACAAGTATTTCTGGTTCCCTGCATTCTCCCTACTGTCTTGTAGGAATCCTTTCATTCCTGTCATTTAAGGCTCACACCACCAAGATGATTTTTCCAAAGGACTCCTCAGAATCTTTCTTGTAATTGGACAAATAGCTTTGACTCCTACCTGCTGGAGCAGGGGCACAAACCACATGCTCAAGCCACATTTCCTTTCTCCTGACTGCTGATCATGCTGTTGTTTCCCAGTTTTTATGTCACTTTTCCCCATTCTAAAATGCTGAAATACCTCTCCTAAGGCTTAGTTATGAGTAGCAAGGACTTAAGTAAAAATACGGAGATACTTAGGGGAGGGTGGTTGGTCCTGCCCCTTTCCCCATTTTTCCTCTTCCCTTAGCGCATGTCCCTGATCCCCAGTGGACTGCAGTCCCCCATTTGCGTGAAATGCAAAGGGGTCCTTGGACTCATTCCACACACCTGTTCTGAAGCAGCAGAAAACAAATATGCCTCCCCAGATAAATGACAAAGACTTTGATTTATTTAGAGTCATTTTATTGTTTTTAAAGCAAGAAATTCCTCAGATTCATTTGTGCTCTGCCCTTCTTATCAACTTACTTTTTTTTTATTTTCGATTTATATCCTGCCTTTTTCCTACAAAGGGCTCAAGGCAGCTTACATCTCTCCTCCTCCATCTTATCCCCACAAGAACAACCCTGTGAGGTAGGTTGGGCTGAGAGTCTGTGACTGGCCCAAAGTCACCCAGTTGGCTCCCTGGCCGAGCGGGGACTAGAACCCAGATCGTCTGAGTCCCAGTCCCATGCTCTTAACCACTACGCTTCTTTCTGTGCTTAAGCTGCATGGTACTTCAGGATGCTTTAGTTGATAAGGCATGATTTATTTCAGGTCTTAACATCTCAGATTTCACACTGGATTTCTTATTTGAAATATTATCCCACACAAACACTGAAAGGAAAAACTTAGATGCCACTTATGTCCAGTAATGGGGAATGGGGTGGAACTGATGTCAACCTGTAACTCTAAAGATCAAGCTCTGGTGTTTAATCCTAGGAAGTGATTGAGAGTGGAATCCTAAGCATGCCTATGCTGAAGCAAGTTCCACTGAGTTCAGTGGTCCATGTTTGGGGGCAGGCGAAGACCTTCCTTTAAAAAATATATATATATTAATAGTTAATGCCACTCGACCTTCTGTTTTGTATTTTTGTCCATATTTTATTGACCTTATATTTTAGTATGTTGTAGTTAGTTTTTATTGTTTTTATCTTGTGACTGTGAGCTGCCCAGAGGTGCTGTGGCTTGGGTGGCATATGAATGTTTTAAACAAACTAATAAATATTCCAGCTCTGGATGGAAGATTGTAGCCTAAAATGTTATTGTTCTAATCGTATTGGGCCAGGATTCTCAAACAGACTTGGCTGAAAAGGCCTTTGCACATATAGAAAAGCATCAAAATGAAAGTTGTAGGAATGTAGAGCAAACAGCAGCAACCCATTTTCTCCATTTGTTATATTTATATCCCACCTTTCATCCTGCAAGGAGCCTGTGGTGGATTACCTCCTCCCCCTCCCCTGCCCTCTAATCCACAACCACCTTGTGAGGTTGGTTAGGCTGAGCGCCAGTCGGCCAGTGAACTTCATGGATGAGTGTGAACCAGATCCAGTCCAGCGCTCTAACCACTACACTGCAGTGGCTCTTCCAACTAAATGAGGTATGCCACAACTAATCAGGCAAATGGTGACCCTGCAGATACTGCTGGATGATCCCCAACTTTTATTGGCCTTAGCATGCCCAATTATTAGGAATGATGGGACCTGCAGTCCAACATCTGGAAGATCACACGTTATACAGTGGAGCCTTGGCTCATGAACTTAATCTGTTCCATGACTCTGGTTGTGACCCAAGTCAAATTTCCCCATAAGGTTCAATGTAAATAAGGTTAATCCATTCTGTAACTATTTTATCAGAAAAAATGGAAACAAAGTGACAAAGAAAACAGTGACAAAGAACGACAAAGTACCATACAGTACAGTGAAGAACACTAACCTAGGTGGGGGGGTTATTGTTTTGAGGGAGAGTCCCCCTCTATAAGGACATTAGGAAAATCTCTTTCAGGGGTTTCTCTCTTCTTTGTCTCTTAGCTGTAGGGTCAGTTTTGGTGAAAAATCTGTTTATAGTCACTTGTTTGTTCCTGCACTGCATAATCCTCCAGAAATGAGAGACCACGTTATCGTTCATCAGATTCAACACTCTGTTCATTACAGTTATGTTGGGGTGGTGCTTCTCAAAGAAATCCTGGCACTCATTCCATTTTTTCGTAATGGATTGTATCACATCACTGCTAACCTCCTCCCTGTCTCGCTCTTCCTCAGTAGAATCCTCCTCAGCGAGTGCCTTCTGCTGCTCACTCTGGAGTTCAGCAAGTTCTTCTGTTGTCAGCTCCTCTATGTCTTCCCTGCACAAACACAACAGCGATCATGGCCATCTCCCCACTCAGGGTGGGGGTGGGGAGATGGCCACGATCGTGCTGGTTAGGGGAGGGGGAGATGGCCGAGATTGCGCCCGTCTTTCCTGCAGGAGCGCACCCGTGATCACACACGTCTTCCCTGCATGAACACAACTGCGATCGTGGCCATCCCCCCATTTGGACCACCATCTTGGTTGCCACCCAATGAGGAGCTCGCGACCCAAGTCAAAGTTTTCATGAAATTTTTGTTCGTGACCTGATTTGGTTGTGAACCAAGGCGTTTGTGAGCCGAGGCACCACTGTACACCCTTTAAACTATTCTTACTGGAAGAAGCTATATTCACTTGTTTGTGAACTTGG